AAAGTTAAGGGCATAGCTCAATTCCATTAATAAGAACTAGTTACATGTGCAAAAGAAAGATATAAAGAACAAAAAGAAGGGGATAAATAACCCCTAATGACAAAAAAAGGAACATCACCTTTCTGCACCAAAAATATACATGATAAAAAGAATAACGGAAAAACAATAAGCTTCAAAGAAACCAAAAGGGCTCAGTAGTAAAAAAGATTGCAATCACCGGAAAGAACAAAAACTCCCCCGGTTGCGAGGGCTGCCATCAAGAGAAAATCTGGTTGCAAGAGAACGCCATCCAGGGGGATCGCTAAAGCAATCTAGCATCACTGCCCTTGAAATTGCAAAACCCATCCAAAACCTGCCAATATTCCCATAAACGAAAACCAGAGAATCGATAGTCATCACAGCATCAGTTGAAAGAGAACCATGCCAGAAAATTCAAAAATAGAGAGCAGAACGTAGTTCCGTAGCTGAAAAAATAGACCCTTAAAGCAGATCCAACAACATGTTCGCTTCCTTCCATTTGTAGACTCTAGAAAAAACTGCTTTTTTTTATCTTAATACAGATCGTAGAAGAGCTAGAAGCAGAATGAGCAAACATCCTCTCGTTTCTTTCTTTCCACACATGATAAATAGTACAACAAATGATGAGATAGTAAAATCTTATTGATTTTAAAGAAGTAGCGGGCAGTCGTCAACCTAGTCAAACTACTGCACCAATTTTGGCCTAAGCAGAATCGAAGAGCATGCAGGTATCAGAGAGGTAATAATGCTATGAGTGTATGAGTATTCAAAAAAGAGATGCATACAGCTTTCATAAAGGAGTGGCACAATGCACATGTTAAATCCACCACAATCGCTAATTTTAACGACAATTTCTTGACGCGAACAGTGCGATGTCAATATTGACATCGCACTATTCACAAATGCTTTTTTTTTTCTTTTTTTTGAAAAATCATGAAACAACAAAGGAAGAAGATGAATTTGCCTACCCGATTGACTATTCGAAGGAGGGAACTGTTGATAACAAAGATGCAACAACTCTAGCGGAAACTGAGTGTAGAAACATAATCTCTGACGAAGAAGAATAATGCATTTTTGAATAAAATTGTATAATCATATCAATGATTTGATTAAGTAAAAAATCTTAATTTGTAAATGAATAAATCAACTAGGTTATAAATTTTAATTAATAAGAAAAAATATACACAATATATTCTTTTTTTTTATATTACTGTTTGATGTGACTATTATTATATTTTAAGTGAAAAATAAGTTTTCCGTTGGGATGCCCTAAAGGGGCCAAAAATAAGAAAATATTGATATCACATCTACAATATTCAATATTAATTTTGACACAATTTATAGATTCAAAAACACTCATAACATGAACTCAAACTTTAACAATAATTTATTAAATATGATTGCATTTGAGTTCAAATATTCCCCAATGAACTGACAATAGTAATTCAATGCATTTGGGGCTTATATCTATTCTTTCTTTTTCATCAAACTTTCATGTATCTCTTTTAATGAGTACCTTAAAAAAATTGGCATATGCTGCTTTATGTAACGAGGAAAAAATTGGATTATTGCTTTCTAAAGTGACTTTTTGAAATTTTTTTAGTGAAAAGCTGCTTTAGAGAGTAATAAGAAAGTCATTCCAAACGAAGCCTTAGTATAGTAAGAATATGATTACATAGAGATTTACTCGATCAAAAGAATATGACTAAGGCTTCGTTTAGGATAGCTTTTTTATTACTTCCTAAAATAGCATTTTAGTACAAAAATTTCTTGAATTAGAAAATTTTATATTATAAAGCTATTTTAGGAAGCTATACGAAAGCTGCCTCAAATAAAACCTAAATCAACTTAAATCATCTATGATTTTCTTTTAATATTAGGTAAGAAAAGATATCAATGAGAACAAATTTATAAAAATTTATTGAGAAGAAAAAGAAAAGAAGGCGAAGAAGAGATATGAAGGCATGTCATTCAAAGGAAAATTTCAATTGAAATGCAGTAGTTGGATTGATAGAAGAGAAGGGTGAAAAGGTTTATCAACGAAAGTGCTTATGTTATTAAAAAGTACATAGTTGATATCTATTAAAAAATCTTTAAATTTGCAATATTTATGATATAAGTATGATGCAATTATCAAATAAACAGTTAAATATGTAGTTAAAAATTAAATTTTATGAATATTTTAACTTCATAAAATAATAAAATTAATATTTAGTGAAGTATTTAATTTAAGCTATAAGCGAACTAGTGCACTCGATGAGGAGTTCGATACTAATTATATAAGATTTATTCATTTTTTTATTTAGATAATTTAGCAAGAAATAATAATCTTTTTAAGGCATGGCATATTAATAAAAAAGCTTGATATTTGCAAAAATGTTAATTTATATTTATGAATATTGCATACTAGCCGATGCCTTCAAAGGTGTTAGATGGTTACTAGCGCGTCATGGCGGAGGGGTTTGCCATTAAAGGATGCCCAATAAAAAGAACTTGCCTAGCGATCCAAGAGGAACTACTAGCCTCAAGCTTATAGGGAACTTGTCTAGAGTGATCCACATGCGTTACCCACCCGGGCCTGCCAAGAAGCTCACAATTTGCCAGGTGAATTAGGGATTACAACACTTGCCACATACTTGGACCACAACCTTTGTCACCCACTCCCACCTCAAAGAGACCTCAAACACTCGCTCTCTCCTAAAGCAAGCATCATTATCAAACTTGGCTACAAGAAAATGTGTACTCATAGGACCCTCAGCCTATCTCATTGCGACCATGAAACTCGGAGCACTTCATTCCAACGACAGCACCTCACTCACATTTCTCTTCCCAAACAACATCAGCAAGCTTACCAACCGTTAATCTGCTTTCATCTCTGCACTTGCCCGAGCACACTCACAATCGCCCACTCGACATATTGTGCTCGTCCAAGGGAAACTCGTAGAAGTTTTCTAACC